GAGGTGAGAGACGGAGAAGCAGGAGCCCGAGGGGTGGTAAGGGGAGTCGCGATGGGACGCCGCCGCTGACGGAGGATGAGAGGGATAAGAGAACTGTTTTTGTGCAGCAGCTGGCGGCGAGGTTGAGGTCTAAAGAACTGATTGCATTCTTCGAGAAGGTTGGCCCCGTCAAGGAGGCGCAGATCGTCAAAGACAGAGTTAGCGGCAGATCCAAGGGGTATGTTTGTCCTTTCCTAACTTGGTGTTTGAAGAATGATGCTAACGTTTGGATTTATAGTGTTGGTTATGTCGAATTCAAGAACGAGGAGTCTGTTGCTGCGGCCATTCAGCTTACGGGCCAGAAACTCTTAGGCATCCCCATCATCGCGCAGCTCACAGAAGCCGAGAAGAATCGTCAAGTCAGGACTACTGAACCTGCCAGCAATAACCCGAACCAGATCCCATTCCACCGTCTCTATGTTGGTAATATCCATTTCAGCATCACTGAAGGCGATCTACAGAATGTTTTCGAACCCTTTGGAGAGCTTGAGNNCCCCCTCCCCCCTTACCGCCGAATTAAACCGCTAACCCCCCACAGATTCCGCGATCCCCACCAAGCCCGCGAGGCCCTCGAGAAGATGAACGGGTTCGATCTCGCAGGTCGACCCATCCGTGTTGGTCTTGGCAATGATAAGTTCACCCCTGAGTCCACTGCGAGCCTTCTACAGAGATTCCAGGGCCAGAGTCACCAGCAACAGTTCCAGGGCTCCGCCTTCTCTGGCGCAGGCGGCCGCGGTCCTCAGGCCAGCGGAGGCGGCGGCGGCGGCGGCGCGTTCGATAGGGCGGGTGGCCGCGATGGCGATAAGGGCACGGGAGGCGCCAGTGCCCTCGATGATACGGATGTGGGGGGGGTTAATTTCAATAACTATAGTAGGGATGCGTTGATGAGGAAGCTCGCCCGCACTGATGAGCCGGCCCCGGCGACGAATGGGAGGGATGATAGACGCGAAGTGGCGAGGCCGAGAACAGAGGTTAAGCCTCCTCCGATCAATGTTAACACTGCCAGTCGCTGCGTTGTTCTGAGGAACATGTTTGATCCTGCTGAGTAAGTCATTCCCCCCTCCCACCCCGTTTCCCCTTTACCGTCTGTCAGAAGTACATGAGCATGAACAAGTAGCTAACGCAGCCACAGGGAAACCGGTGAGAACTGGGAAAAAGAGCTCGAGGACGATGTCCGCGCCGAGGCTGAGGAGAAATATGGTCACGTCGTTCACATCTCTCTAGATCCGAACTCGCAAGGCGACATCTACCTCAAGTTCGACCGGGTCCAGGGCGGCGAGAACGCCATCCAGGGCCTCAACGGGAGGTATTTCGGCGGGAGGATGATCAGCGCTACGCCGGTTGTGGATGCGGTTTATAGCACCATGTTCTCGCGCACCAAGGCTATCTGATTGATGATTGCTTGATGAGTAGTACTCTCTGGGGTTTTGAGCTTGAGTTAGTTGCTAACAGTAGATTATTTGAGAATTGAGAATTGAAGTGAGGGTTGTGGGGGGTTTTTTGGGGGGGGGGTGCGGAGGGGAGAGCATCCTTGCTTGTGCTTAAGGGTAAAGCTTCAATGACATGTACAATCGTTCAGATCATATTAATTGCCTCTGTGTACAGTTTTTATATATTTTTTATTTAAAAAATCCCTCTCGTGTGTGTGTGTGTGTGTGTGTGTGCTGCCTGACCTGTGTATAGAGCCAACAATTCCATCAGACGAATATCCGGCCAGCCTTCTTCCCCCCTTATTAATTTTCTAGCCGCGCCTGTTCGTATTGTCCCCTCCCGACCG